TGTAAACTTCTAAACCTCACAGATATTTACATTGCTGTGTGCAGTTTTAAAAGCATTCCCACAGTCTTGGTTTCATTTGATCCTCATGAATACCTTGCCAGGGGTGAAGGATACATTTCCTTATCTGCACCTTGCAAAAGGAAACCAGATCTTCCACCACAGAAATCAGAGGAGCCAGGATCTGAGCTGGCAGGTAAATGTTCACTGAATTAAACAAATACAGAAATATAGAAGTGTTTTAAGGTAAACAGGTCTCTGCCCCAAAGAAATTCATTGTCATCACTTCTCAGCCTTTTGGCTAAGATCAAGTGAAGAAATTCATTGTCTGTTTGGGGAGAGATGCTCAAAATTAAAATAATTAAAATAACAATACAATTTAGTAAGGAAAGACCAGGTACAGTGCAGATATGATCAGTGCATCCTTCACTGTGAAATGAAATGAAGAAAGCACTAGGATTCTAAGTGTACTTAAGTAGCTTTCATCCCGTGACTGAACTGCAATCCCCAGCGTCCTCCACCTGCTACCTAACCTTCATCTCAAGTCTCTGCTTAATATCCTGGGTTTTACTAGGATAAGGAATCCTAGTGTCTGTAAGAAGTCCAGCTTTACACTTAGCTATGGTGATGTCTGAGCTTGTCACATCCTCTTCAGTCCTGTACTCGCAGTGAAACTCTGGCCCTCCCCACCCTCTTGCTTTTTTTTTTTTTTTTTTTTTGCCACAAGGAACATGAAAAAGGGATTGGGGGAGATCTATCTTCAGTGTTCCCAAAAAGTCCACCCTCACCCGCTGGATTTGCTGAAGGGAGCAGAGTTCAGAGAACGATGTGGTGACTAATGCATCAGACACTAAGAAAGACATTTAAGAGGACGGTGTTTTAGGAAAGAATACCAACCAGGCCAAAGAGAAGACAAAGTCAGAACATGCCCATGGTCAGGACTATCATCACCTGACACAGAAGAATAATCGTGTGATAATTATGTGTGTATGGATAGGGATAACTAATAGGAATAACAGATCATTTAAAATTGAGATTTCCAAAAATCTAGGATGGCACTTGGGTATCAATGCTCTCCAGAAAACACAAATGGTCCCCCAAACGCCTCCTTCTTCATCTGGGGACTCTGTGGCCTTTTCTTTGGAGACTATGGTCCTGTCTTCTTATTTACTCCTTATATCACATGGGCAAAAACAGACACAAAAGTCTCTAATCAACTCCTAAGCATTAATTTATTCTGAAGGCAGAGCATGGGCAGCAAGACCAGACTTCTGGCCTAAGAGCTGTTGAAACCTGCAATGTCAAATGAGCCAGAGACAGACTTAAAAGGCAAATAACAATCTGGGAAAATGTTTACAACATAAGTAACAGTATTTTATTTTATAGTCTATAAAGAGTCCTAGCAAATGAGTAACATGACTATAAAAGATAAAAGTAGGCAATTCACAGAAGTGACATAAAAACAGGTTCCACTTGGGACACCTGGATGGCTCACTCAGTTAAGCCTCTGCCTTTGGCTCAGATCATGATTCCCAGGTCCTGGGATGGAGCCCCACATTGGGCTCCTTGCTCAGCAGGGGAGCCTGCTTCTCTTTGTACCTGCAGCTTCCCCTGCTTATGCTCTCTCTCCTCCTCTCTTTCTGAGAGATAACTAAATAAAATATTTTTTTAAAAAAGATTTGATTAGATTAAGATATAAGATTTTAAGATTGACTATCACTGGGTGTTTTTTTAAAATTTGATTATTTCTGGATGTTTTATTTTTTTCATTTTGCTTATTTATGGTTTACTGTTTTCCTGCAATGAATGTCCATTTCTTTTATAATAATTTTAAAAACTGGGTAATTATGTGAAAATAAAAGGATAGAAGCAAAGGTATTAAGTTCTGAATTCACTGGAATTAAACTGTAGCTGATCATTAACAAATAAATCATAAAGTGCCAGCATTTGCCTTGAATTAACTAGATTTAGTTTTTCTGCCATCAGAGGTAATAAGGCCTAGAATTAAAAGTGACTTGAGTTACAGAAAATAAAGTTACAATTCTGGCATTACCTGTCTCTGAACTATGAAATCTGTACTTGTTATGTGTTTACATGTGTGTCTAGCAAGTATTTGGAAAGGTATCCACTAAATTTAAAAGTGGTCCTGTTCAGCAGGGTGGGATTAGAGGAAGATAATTAATTTTTCTTGATGCTATTCTTTATCATTTGACTAATTAGAACAGGCATGCAAAAAATCTAAGTATCTTTAACAAGCATTATTATGAATATTTAGAAATGTGAAGTCTATCTATGGTATGGGAGAAAAAAAATCGTAATGCAAAATATACTATATCATGTACCTACTGGTGGGAAAGGCCTGGGTGGGAATACTCTATCATGAAAATAGTTTCTCCAGTTCATTTATTAGTTCCTTTATTCCACAAATATTTGTTGAGCACCAACTAAGGGCTAGGCACTTGGGAGACAGCAAGGAATCAAATAGCCAAATACGGCCCCCCTCATGGAATTTATATGGCAGTAGGGGCAGATGGGCAATAAGCAGTAAGCATAATAAATATGTTGGTTAAGTGAGTGCTACGGAGAAACCGGAGCTGATGAAGACAGACTGGCACTGCTGAGTGAGGAGGAGGGTTACAGGGGTTGATCAGGGAAGGCCTCACTGAGCTGACATTTGAGAAAACGTCTGAAAAGAGGTGAGGGGTGAGTCAGGCAAATATCTGGAAGAGCCTTCTAAGCAGAGGGAGCCACCAGTGCCAAGGTCCTGAAATGGGCTCAAGGAAAACCAATGAAGGCAGTGTGGCCGAGTCAGACTAAGCAGAGGGAGAGCAGGTCAGAGAGAAGCAGGGCAGCTACTAGGTGTTGGGCTCTATAAGGAGTTTGGCTTTTCACTCCAAGTGAACAGGGAAACCAATGCCAGGATCCCTCTGGCTGTTGTATGGAGATTAGGCTTTTGGGGTAGGGGTTGTACAGCAGAGACCTGATTGGGTGACAGATGCAGGTTGCTGTGGGGATGCTGGGGTGTTGGATACCAGATATAGTTTGAATGCACATCAACAAAATTTCCCAATTGGGTAGAGGATGTGAGAGCAGTGTATGAGGATGAGTCTTAAGGTTTGGGCCTGAATAAATGAAGTGGAGTTGCTTTTAATTCACATGAGAAGGACAGCTGGATGCAGTAGGTTTGAGTTGGAGAAAGAACTTATTTGTGAACCTGTTATGTTTGAGTGTAACAGCAATATAAGTTCTGTTTAAAGAACGTTTCTAATATGACATCTTTCCAAATAAATCATATCAAGACTCCTGACTCAGCAATTATTATACTCCCAGTACTGAAAATATGTGTTAGTCACTGCTAGCAATCTGGAGAAATCACAGGAACAGAAGATATGCCAGAAGACTGGAGCCCAGGTTCCAGTTTTAAAAAACGGAAAAAAAACGAGGGCTGCAAATCCATCCACAGTCCTGGCCATATTCTAGAACAAGTGAACTCCAAAAATTAGTTACAGCTCCTCTTGGATTCAGCTTGGAGTCTAGCAAGTCAGACCAATGCATGTACTAGGAAAAACCCAGACTTTCCTTCCATGTCTTCTTTCCTATTTTATAGAACTCTTCACTTCTGATAATTTCTGACACCAAATATGTGGGGTTTACCCCCCCCCCCCCACCTAGCAATTTTCTGTGACACCAGCTGGTTGTCCTACAATTTAACTATCCAGGTAGACAATATCTACCTGGAGACAGCTAGCATCGGACTCCACAGTCCATTTGAGACTGACCACACTTCAGACACCAATGACATGTAGCAGGTCCCCAAGTTACCCACAACTTCTGCCTGACCTGGCTACACATTGGCAGTTCCCAGGACCTCCTTCTCTTGGACTTGATTATTTGCTAGAGCAGCTCACAGAACTCAGGAAAACACTTACTTACACTCAACAATTTATTAAAGTATATAAAAAAAGGATACGGATGAACAGCCAGATGAAGAGCTACCAAGAGCTTGGAACCAATGGAACCGCCGTCAATGACCAAACATTAGAACAGAAGATGCACCTAGTGCTCTTACCACTTAGGAAGTTTCAAGGGTTTTAGGAACTTTGATCCAGGAATGAAATGAAGAGCAAACATACACAATCCTTATAAATCATAACATCTCACAAGACAGGCCAGAAGACTGAAGCCCAGGCTAGCGTTTTCAGAGAGGAGGTAAAAACAGAGGCTGCCAATCCATTCTGTCTCGGCAAGACTCTAGGACATGTCCTTAGGGGATGACACATTAACTCCAAAAATTAGTAGGAGCTCCTCTACTACTACTGATTCAAGCTGAGCGAGTCAGGCCAATATATTTAGGACAAAAAGAAAGAAAGTAGAAAAAAAAATCAACCAGGGCCATTTTGGGACTTGCAAGCCCCCTGCAGAAGCGGACAGGTTTCTTTCGAGAGGTGTGTCAAGCGGTAGGCGGCAGCGGCCGCGCGGGGTCGTGTTAGGTCGGAGGCCGCCTCTACCGCTCTCCTGCCCTGTAACCGCAGGCTGACTCCCCGCTGTTCGCGGGGGGTGGTGGTGACCAAGTAATACAATTAATACCGCAGTATTAATACTTGCAAAGTGCTTCGCACAGCGTGTACAACGCGCACTAAGGGCGCGGGGCCGGGGGGGGGGCATTCATTTTAGAGCACTCTTACCATTTTATTTCTCTTTTCTGACCCAAGGAAACGTCCTGCAGGGGCGACAGAAGCAGCGAGAAAAAAGAAGCGACGCGCAGAGCGACACTTCCCGCGGGTGCCGCTCCGGAGCCGCCGGCGCAGGCACGGTTAACTCGGGCCTCGCAGCTTCCCGAACCGCGCCCGGCCGGCGAGACCCGCAGCCCGAGAGCCGAGCCGCCCCGGCCTCCCGCACCACCCGGGCGACCGGCGGTTGCTAGGCGACCCGAGCAGGGCCAGGGGCCAAGGCGATCCTCCCCCCTCCCTGCCCAGGTCCCACCCCGCCCCGCCCGCGGAGCGTCAACACCCGCGACCGGCCGGGGCGCCGAGGCGCATGCGCGCTTCCCGCCGCGCGGCGCCCGATGACGCGCGCTCCCGCTCGCCGCCGTACTCTCTGCCCCGCCCCTTCTCGTACTCTCGCCCCACGCTCAGTTCTCTTCCAGACCCGGTCCGGCCCACACCTCGTCTCCGGTCTTGGGAACAGTGCAGACCCACGTCCCGCGCTCCCGTGGTGGCGGTGGTGACGGGCGGTGGGGGAGGGAGCGGGGTGCGGAGGAAGAATGAGGCGGGACGAAGGGAGGTGGCCGTTACCGCGGACTCACTTCCGGAGCACGGGCGGAAGTGGCTGCGGGGGATGGTGGGAGGGGGGGAAGGAGCGCAAGGGGAGGGCCCGGCCGCCGGGGGTCGAGGGGGTGGGGCCTGGGCCGCCTGTCTGGACCCAGCCTGGGGCCTGGACTCCGACCTGGGAGGGCCACGGCTTCCAGCTGAGACCAGGCGGGCGGGATCCAGGTAACGACCCAGAGCCGCCTGGGCGAGGGTCGTCCGGGCGGTAGGGGGTGCGGGGTGAGGGGTGGGGGTCAGAGTCTAGGGAGGGTCGCCGTGCCACTCCCTTCCCGGGTGAGCGCGGACCATGGGGTGCGGAGGAGACGGGTGGGAGGAGTTAAACTCATGGAGGGGGGGTCATGTGAACGCCACGCCCCTACAGGAAGGACGGGTGTGTGTGTGTGCGTGTGTGTGTGTGTGTTTAGGAATAAATTTAGAAGGGAGGAGGCGACGGGGTGTGTGTGTGTGAGAATAAACTTAGAAGAGAGGGGGCGACCGGGATGGGCTTCCCAGCTGAGAAACTGGAGCGCGGGGAGGCTGCTGCCGGCCGGACTCGGGCCTCTCTCCCCGCAGAGTGCTCTCCGCGGCCCCGGGAGGGAGTTCGAGATTAGGAATCCCAGCCCTGCCACAGTTTTGGGAGCCGAGGGAGAGGCGAGGCCGAAAGGAAAGGAGCAGAGAATGTATGCGGAAGGGGCCCGGGTCGGGGTCTGGAGTGGATTGAGTTCAATCTGGGAGCGCTGACCGGGCGATTAAAACACTGAACTCCCTAAGCTTGGAAGCTGGAGGAGATTAGTGTGTGGCAGTAACAGGACAAGAGGGAGAAGGGAGAGGGATGTTCTTTTCCATGTGTCTTAGAAGACAGTCTCCATTGATGGTAGAGGAATCCAATCTAGGTAAGGGGCCTTAGGCATCCGTTGGGGTACAGCGTAGGATAGAAAGTGTCGTAATGTTTAAATATTCCACAGGTTAACACTGACACCAGCCTTCTGGCCATGCCGGTTCTATGGCCTGTTTCTTCTCATGAACCCCAGCAGAAGACAGACCGGCCGGTCCTCACAGTGGATGACTTCCCTTCCCTGAGCAAGAGATGGGATAGAACCCGGGATCTGCCCCACACCAGACTCTGGGCGTAATAAGCCAGCTGAATGAAGGAATGTAACAGACCCCTGGGAGGGACACTGAACCCTGCCGCGGGGGGGGGAGGGGCCTGGACATACCCCTTCCCCCCCCAGACTCCTCCCCCTCAGAGTCCACTCAGCCATGGACTTTGGACCTGGATAAGGGAAAAGAAGCTGCACTTTGTTTGTTGTATCTGATTTGGGATTCTGAGTTTTGGAAATGGAGTGCCAGAAGGGGGTTTGATGATCTCCAGGGGAGCAGCTGAGAGAAGAAAGGTAAGGTTCCTGTCTCACTTCCCAGTGGGTGTCTTGCTGCTCTTACGCAGAAAATGTTGAGTGGGGCCAATCTGGGGATGCTGCCATTTAGGAAGTGCCCGATGAGATCCCTTACCCCAAAGGGTACACAGGAAGCTTTACCTCTGTTTCACTCTATAAGAGTGTAGACTTGTTCCCGGCCTCTCTTTACCCAGGTAGGAGGAGTACATTGTAAGATGTTTTGTGCGGTGGCATTTGAGAGGTTAGGCCTAGGAGAACATGAAGAGAATTTCAGCTTCTGAGGAGAGGCTGGGTTAGACTATCAGTAAGGACCAACACCGAGTCAACACATCTTGGGCTAAATAAGACTCTAGGGTGGGTTACTTAGGCAGAGGCAGGCTGCTGTGTTTTGGGGGAACTAACTGAGTGGAACTGCCTGGGGGGAGGTTAGACGATGGTCTGGATAACTTCCTAAATTGTCTCTCTTCAGATTTAGGCCATGAAACCTTATGCAGACCACAGAAGAACAGAACACAGGTTTAAAATCAGTTGAATTTTCGTTCTCGCTCTGACTTTTTTAGTGTGTAACCCTAGGAATGTCGGTTAAGATCTGTCATGTTCTGTTCACCTGTAAGACAGGTACCTAGCTTTAGAGCTTCCTCACAGGTTGTCACAGGGAGCAAATGGGGGATAGATCTTGAAAAGTGTCCAGGGCCGTGTGTGTGGAAAACAGTACTGTTGACATTGCTTGATAATGCTTGTGTAATTGGTACATACAAAAAAACTCTGAATGAGGAGTTCTGTTCTTTTATTGAATCAGTGTATTGGCAAAAGCCTTGGATGTCCTCAATTAAAAGCCTGCCCTGAATGTGTCTCATCTTGTTGCTGTTAAACAATCCCTGGGATCATCAAGTAGTGGAAAAGGTGCACAGGTCCTAGGAGAGCTTAGGTTGGGGATTCTGGTCCTTAGGGCTCTCCACACTTGTGATAAGTGTGCCTCTTGGGGTAGCAGATTAAAGAGGGCCAAGTGTGTGGTTAGGAGGTGGAGCTCCATTTCTTGGAGTAAATTCTGGGCCTTTCTTCCTGTGCCATATCCTGGTATTCTCTCCTGCTCTTGAAGATGACAGTGTTTTTGGACTTCCATCTCTTAGTCCTTTCTATTTTTGCAGGCTGTTCCCACAGACCTGTTCATAGTTACCGTCTCACCTCCTTCCTGCTCCTTCCTGAACCCCAGTTTACTTATGCCGAGATACCTGCTTTTCTCAGTTACAACAAACAGAAAGGAGATATGTTGGCAATTTTGATAGGTGGTAGGGTATGGTGGCCTGGGGGCATGGGGCAGAAGGCTTGGCTTCTAGCATCTCTGCCTCTCAGTAGCTGTGTAACACCTGGAGCTCATATTCATTGGGGTTGGCGCAATAACTAAGATCATTTGCAAGCTGAAAATCACGTTATTTATGACTTAGCTTCTTTTTCCCCTCCTTCCTTTCTTGCCTGCCTTCCCCCAGTGGTGAGCTGTTTCTTCTCTGGTCTGAGGCTGGCTTGGAGCAGTACCTTTCAGGCCAAAGTTCTACTTTAGAAGGTCTAGATTTCAGGGTGGCAAGTCACCTGCCCCAGCTTGGCATTCCTAGTTCCCGCATTCCTAGTGCCAGTCCTTGCAAGGGCTTTCTGGTCCCAGGATCCTTTTGCAGCCCTCATCTTACCTGGAAGGCCTGCGAGTGTACAGAGTTGTGCTGTATATATATGGCGCTTTTGTTACATGAAGTGTCCAGTTGGGTCACTTTTCTGTCACCACGCTGTTGTAAGGAAGAGAGAGCAGGGATTATTTCCCTAGTTTGGTAGGTAAGGGGAAGCTACAGAAGCTCTGAGCACAAAGGACTTGCCTCAGTGTTGAGAGGGAGATACCGTAATTGCCTGCCCAGTGCTGGGCTGCTTCTACAGCATCTGACCTAATAAGGGCCATCTGGATCCTGCTGCAAACCTTCAGGGAGGGAAATTTAGTGCCCTGTCAGACAGCCTCTCTGGTAAGACATTTCCTCCCTAGATTGAACCAGAATTCCTCTCCCCTGTCATTTTCGCTGAAAGTGCTATTCCTGTGCTCTGCCTGACCCTGTCTCAAGATAGTCTTCTCAAGACTGTCATCGGCCTTCTCACAGGAGTGCCTTCTCACAGGGGTACAGGATCTCAGACCACTTAGCCAGGAGCAGTGGTAGACTTAATCAAAAGTTGTGGATGTGTTTTACCTGAATTTATACCATTGTGTCACACAAAAGGAATTGTATGTAGTTAACCAAAAGTCTCATTTCATAGACATTGCTCACTGGTCCTTCTATTAATCTTTTCTTTACTTTGATCTTGATGAGCTGTGTTTCTGGGCCTCCAAGGGGAGTATCGATGTTGGGAGAATGGGAGAGGGAAAATTAGACACAACGCTGATTTAAAACTTTGATTTTACTTCTTCTGATAGTTTCTAGCCAAGATCTGCCTTAAGTTCAGATCATGAATTCTTTCCAAGTTGTAAAAAATTTCAGGGTATCTTAGGTATGGTTTATGGGAAGGCAATTGGAAGATTTTCATGTCCTTCTCCTTATGTCTCCAGTCCTCTTTTGGAGGTAGTGGGGGTGGGCAGGATACAGTATTTTCACCTCTAAATTCTCTCTTGTCTTATGATCAGATCTTCCTATTTTTTCCGTTTTCGCACACTCCAGTTTCGGTTTCATTCCCAGAATTCAGGCACCTAGCTCCTTGTTTCTGCCCTTCTTCCCCTTCCCCCTCAGCCCATAACACCTCCTCATGAAATCTCCAGCAAAAGCCCTGGGCCTCTTTTCCCAGGTCAGTGTGGCACATGTCACCCTGGCTTCTTGCCTCCTAGACCAAGTGTTTTCTTTTGTTTCCATCCCAAGAATTCAGCCCAAACCAGTTCTCTAACCAGGCTCTTTCTGCTTGGGACAGTCCTTTTGTAGCTGGGGAATTTCTACCTGTAGATCTTCTGTAAGCCTTGGAATTTCAACAGAGTAGTCATTGGGTGTTAGTTCTCATGCACAAGCAGTTCCCCATTCTTGTCCTCACTGAACTGCCTTGGATAGAGGAGGATTATTAGAGTGGGAATGTGACATCTCGTGGGCTGGTCTGCCCCATTTTTCAGCATCCTACTATGTCCTTTGTCCTGGAGGGTGATTTTAGCTTCTGATATCTTGGATCTACAAACTAGTATTTCCCAACTCTTTACACTTTTAGGAATTACGGTTTTCCTTCTTACTTTGATGTGGAGTGTGAGTGTGTAGGCCTCCTGCATCCCCCAACTCCCTTCATAAGGAAAGCATAAAGAGAGGGCAGATGTGCAGAGACAGTGGCTGTTGGCTAGCATATGAGTGTGGGCTTGCATTTCTTACCATGGTCCATAAAGTCATCTCAGCTGGAAACCTTGAAGACACACACACAGTCCAGTCTCAGTGAGGTGTCAGCTCTTTTCTCACTCTGCCCCTTCAGAGCTAGGCTCCAGCTGCTTCTTCCAGAATTTCCCTGCTGCCCCAGTGTGCACCTGTCATGCTGGACACACAGCCATCTCAGTGTATTTTCACTCAAGGGTGTGTAAGAGGAAGGAATGAGTGCAGGAATGCCTGGGTCTAAAACCTGGCCATGCCCCTCACTAGGTCTTGTGACCTTCAGCCAGTTGGCACTTACCCTGAGATTCACACTGCCTTGGATAGAATTGGCCCCCCTTCTGTAGAATGGGATGATAATGCACACTCTGCAGAGCTGTTGGGAAGGTTCTGCATGTGGAGGCCTCTGTGCAACTGGTTTATTTCCTTAGCCCCTGGTGGAGGTGGGAGTGGGGGCTTTAGGGCATACTCTGCCTTTTGGGGGGGAGGTCTGGAACCCTTCATAATTCCTGGTTTCATGTAGAAACACGTTAGTGAGTGAAAGCAGTCAGTAACCCCACACTGCTAAGTTCCTACCAGCGGTGTGGAACACAAGAGGGAAGTGGATTCAGGGAGGGCCTGGAGCCTGTAGACTGTCCTCATCACTTGGTGGGGCTGGCCCTAGACCGGGTGTTCGTGAGTAGCCAGGAGCTCTCAGTGCCCCACCCTCACGTCCCAGGATCAGATACAGACATCGGGGCTTTTCCAGGGTGCTCCCTCACCCCCTTTCACAGGGCTTCCACAAAATCCTGAGATGAAGTCCTGTATTCCTTAGGTCTTATGGTTCTTATCCCTGGGACAGGTCTGTCCTCTGCTCCTGTATTCAGAGTGAACAGCTCTCATTCCCCACCTCGAAAGAAAAAAAAGTATTTAAAAAAAAAAAAAAAAGAAAGAAGAAAACAGTTGGCCCCCCTTCTGCTTCTGGCAGCAGGTGTTTCCTCTCTGGCTTTTTTGGCACCTTGGTTCTTGTTCTCACATCCCCGCACTCTGGGGGCCCCTCTGTTGCCCCGGCTCCTCCCCCCGGAAGCTAGACTTTAGCGGGTTGATGAGCGCTGTCCGCACGACCTCGGCCTTGGATTTGGTGGACGCACCGTCCGGCTGCCAGGCCTACCTGAGGCCGGACTGACCCCATCCCCTCTGTGAGGCTCCAGGCGCTGGGGCTGGGGGCTGGGGGGAATGACGAGGCTCCCGAAGTCTCCGCGGGACGGGTTGAGTGTGCGAGTGGGGTCGGGATCGTGAGCCGGGAAGGGCGCTGTGTAGCCGCTTCGGCACCGCGCGTCCCGAAGTTCGGAACCCGGGAAACTTGGGACGCCCGGCGAGCGGGGACGGCCAAGTCGGCCGAGGGGCGGGCCCGGGATGCAGGGGCCCCGGCGAGGGCGTCCGGCCCCGCCCCTCGGCCCTCCCCGCCCCGCCCCGCCCTCGCCGGGGAAGGGCCACGTTGCTCCGCTGGCGGGCCGGCCAGGCGCGAGTAGGAAGGGCCGGCCGGGAGCGGGGCGCCGGCCTCCGCGCGAGCGCCGGCTACGCGCCCCGGGGCGGCCGCTTTCGGGGCCGGGAGGTCGGGAGGACCTGGTGAGTAGGGCCCGGAGCGCCGGCGTCCGTCGGCTGGGAGGCCGGCCCCGGGGAGGGGACGGGGGTCGGGCTGAAGGAGGCCCCGCGGAGCGGAGAGGGCGCTCCGGGGCTCGGGTCCCGGCACGGGAGGCGGCGGCCGTCTGAGCGCTTCGCTGCCCCGCGCGGCCCCGGGCGGCCCCAGCGGGAAGGGCTCGGCCCGGCGCGGGTTTGGCCGCGCGGCGCTCGCGAGCCGGGAAGGGGAACTCCGCGTTCGGTTCTCGGAACCCCGGGCCTCCAGCTGCTGGAGCACGGGCGGGCTCCGCGGGCGGGAGGCGGTTGTGAAACGCGCTGGCGGGGCGTCTGTGGGTGCGGGGCCGGAGAAGCGGGGAGCGGGGAGGGGAGGTGGCCTTTCCTCGGACCCACCCCAGCGTCCTTCCACGGGCGACTGGGGTTCCTCCTCCTCAGCCTCGAGGAGGAGTGACTCCATGTGAAAAATATGTAGACGGGAAAGAAAACTTTCACCACCTGTTAGCCAGCGTGTGTGGGGTCGGGGTCTCGGAGCCGTGCGGGGCCCCATCTCGGAAGCCGGGGCGGGGGCGCTGTGTGGCCCGCTGATCCACTTTCGGACTGACCCGTGAGCCCAGGGTGAGAGGCTCCACCTCGGCCACCCCTTGCCCCTGAGGCCTGTTTCATGACTCTTTGCTTTAGGTCATCACTGGCTGAGGGACCAGCTTTGTTTTCTATCGTTTGTCACAGTTTTCAGACCCCGGAGTCTTTTCTCCTAGACGCTTACATCCCCCGAGTCCGCCTCCCATGGTGAATCACCCCCGTCTGACCCCATTGCGGGAGACTGTTGAGCTCTTCTGGATTCCTGCCTGTGTCCTGTTGTCAGAGTCGGACCGCACTGTAGTCATGTTTAACCTCGGTGCCATATGTGACACTTTCAGCTCACTTCCTGTTTGGGACGTTGGGGAAATTGTCGCTGTCCTTTTCATCATCAGAAACCAGGGAACCTGCGGAAGATCCAAATCGATTCTTTTTCTGTTCAAATAAGGGAACCAAGGCACAAGTGGGTCAAGGGACTTGCCCAAGGTTACCTGGTTTCCCAGGCCTTCAGGCTTTTTGCTGCACTAACATCATGCTTCCTCTTAGTCTTTTCTTTTTCAGGATGAATAACCTGCGTGCCTTCCTCCTAGGTCTTACTCTCTAAGCTCTTGAATTATTTAGTGTATTTTCCCTGACTTCTTCTCATTTCTTACGTCCTTGTGAAAGTATGGAGACTGATACATGATTCAGGAGTCTAGCAGAGGTCTAATAATGAACGAGAAAGTAATTCAGTTAGGTCTCCATTATCTGAAGTATATTCTGTGCTTTGGGTTTTTTAGGCAGTGCATTTTAACCTGGTAAGCAAGACAAAGATAGAAGGGAAAGCCTGTCAATATTACTTTAACTCCCATACTTTTTGAAGCTAAGTATGACTTCTCCATTATTGCTCATGAAGGGAAGTTAACTATCTAGTGTTCTCTTACTGTGTAAAAAATAGTTTTGCTGGAGAGGGGGGAGCTGGCTGCAGAATACCATGGAATCAGGGTGGTGGAAAGGGATCACAGCTTCTAGGCAGTCCTTCAGGGGAAGAAACTGAGACCCACAGGAGTTGGTGGGACCTCCTCAGAGCTTCCTGGGTTTTGGCTGAGGGTTCACACTAAAAATGCTCACTCCTCATCTTCCACCACAGTGCTGATGTCTTTGTACTTGGTGGTGTGGATCAGCTGTGTCACTTCCCTAAAGGAGTGTAAAGACTAGCAAATCACAACTAGGTTTGAATCTGTGACTTGCAGGCAAATGTCATTAATTGCAGAACATCAGGAGCTTATATCAGGGTTAAGGACTATCGTTCTATTTTAGTAAAGGAAGGTGTGGCAGATTATATTTTCCCAAAATGGTCACTCCATAAATATCCCATTCCACTTTTTGTTACAATTGCACATTGTTCTACCCCCACGAGTGGTGGATCTGCGGTTTTTTCTCCCTTTGAGTGTGGGCAGACACTTATGATTCCTCTGACTTATGAGTAAAATACAGAAGTGATCCCAGGCTGGATTATGAAAAGGATACAGTTTCACCTGGCTTACTGTTTTTCTCGGGACACTCATCTTTGGAACCCAGCCGTCAAGTTCAGAGGAAACCCAGGCCATGTGAAGAGGCTATGTGCAGGGCGTTGCAGCCAGAACTTCATCTAACCGTGCTAACATCAACCTGCAGACATGTGCCTGAATAAGCCTTTGAGGGAGAGTTCCCCTCTACCCATCCCCAATGTTCGAGCCTTCAGCTGAGGTCCCAGACATCATGGAGCAGAAACAGGTCATTCCCCTCTGCCCAACAGTCCAAATTCCTGACCTGTTGAAACTGTGAGAGAGAGTAAATGATTGCTGTTGAACATTAAATGTTTTTATTGTTCAATAATAGCTGTTGATGAGGAAAGGAATAGCAGTAGAGGCAGACCCTCAGATTTTGGACTTGGGGCTCTGAGCCAGAGGACAGGAGAAGCACGTGCTGTGCTTACCAAGGGTGCTTAGATTCTCTTCTACTCATTATTTCAGGTACTTACTGCTCTATCACACATCACCTCAAAACCTAATGGTCTGAAACAGCAGAAGCATTTTATTCCTATCTTAGCTTGTGATTCTTCCTCATGGTCATTCCTATGGTTGCAGTCCAATGTGGCCAGGGCTGGGATCATCCAAAAGCCCTCCTCCCATGTCTAGTGGTTGGTGCTTGCTGTTGGCGAGAACCTTAGCTTGTGAGCTAAGGGTCGTGAGCTGGAACACCTGTAGGTGTCCTGTTCATGTGGCTTGGGCTTCCTCTAACCTCTGTGGTCACAGTCAAAGAGCACGCATCTCAGGAGCAACAGGTGGAAATTGCATTGCCGTTCGTGGACAGGTTTTGCAGTTCATGCATGGTCACTTCCTCCGTAGCCACAGATCAAAGAGGGAACACAGACCTCGCATCCCCCACCTCTAGGAGAAATGGCATTATGTCCTTGTAAGAAGAGCATGTGGGATGGGATATGTGATGATCATCTTTGGAAAAGCCCTGTCATGCTGCTGGTTTGGTCTTCTTTCTCCCTAATTTAGCTAATAATACAAGCAGTCTGCCAGCTAGCCACTTGGACTTCATAATGTGCGTCAAGCACTGTAATAGGGTTAAGGGTCATAGAGCTTTTCCCCTAAGGAGTAAGGTGAGAACCACATAAGCACAGCCACAGATTCTGTTACAGTGTGGAGGGGAGAAACAGGAGGAGGGGAGAGAGAGTGGCATGAGGGTAGTTGCGGGAAGGCCTAGCTCTGGCTGTGGTGCTGTGGAAGGATTTGCTGACCTGGGCTGTAAAGGATTTGCAGGTGCCCACAGTGTGGGTCCACAGGTGATGTTTCAGGATGAAGGAACAGCCAGAGCAAAGACTGCAGCATGTAAGTAAGTGTACTCATTAGGGGAAACAAGTAGCTTGCTGACACCAGAGAATGGGGTTCAGAGGCTAGTGGTTGGAGGTGAGCTTGAAAAAAGATGTTTGAGTTAATTTCTTCTGAAGGCCTTGTGTGTCATGATGAAGTTGAGTTTTATTCTGTAGGCAGTGGTAGCTAGCCCCTGATGGTTTTTTATGGCAGACTGGTGTTGTGACCAGCTGTGCATTTTAATAAAGAAGGGTGCTCTGTTGCTGTTGGGAAGGTTGCTTAGGGGGAAGCAAGATTAGCGATAGGTAGATGAGCTACATACATCAGGAGTTCAGGCTTAAAGCAGTATGGCATAAGCAAAGAGTTCAGGGCACTGGCAGTGAATGAGTAACTGTCTCTTCGATTTTCAGAATTGTGAAATGCTTGGAGCTGGATATGTTTCAGAATTTAAATTTTTTTGGATTTTAAAAAGATAATCTGGCGCATTTATGATGTAAAGTGTGGAACCGCACCATAATCCAGCATCTTGACTTCTGTGGCAAATATATAAATAGTCACACTAAATGGATAATAAATACTATAAATAGCCTTACATTAGATCACATCAGATTTCACCAAAGGTTTTACTGCCATATGAGTGAAGGAAACTTCTCTTTGTCAGTGCTTTTTGGGCTTGGGGATTGCAGTTAAGGGATTGTGGCTGAGTGGCATCCATACAGAAGTCACTTTTTAGGTCATTAGCAAATCTCTTGATGGTCAAGGATCCTAGCACAACAGCTTGGATGCACTGGGGGAGCTGGTCCCCGTCCTTGAATAGCTTGTAGCCCTGGGGATTTAAAAGATCTTGAGCAAGAAGTTGCACTGATGTCAGTGATGGTGAAGGGGAGGTAGACTTCACATTGTCTGACATCTTCCCTGGCAGAGACATGAGGGCACACCAAGTGAAGGAGGGAGGGAAGAAGACACCAGGCATACAGGCTCATGTGAAGGCCTTGAGGCAGGCTCAGGTGTTTGTAGCCCAGAAGGATCTAGTAGAGTGGAGCAAAGAGAGCCAGCTAGAGAGGGGACAGAGGAAGGACTGGCTAGCATCTGTGTCACAGATGGGCACTATTCTAAACACCTGATGTAGATATCTCACCCAGGCTTTTTAGCAGTCCAGTGATGTATTCTATTATGATTTCTATCTTAGAGGTGAGAAGATTGAGTTTTCAGAGATATGAAAAAATGTGGGATGGTGCCAAGCATTTGTTCGGCTTGCCCTTGTTACTCCTGACAGTAGGAACAAGAGCTGCACCTCCTCAATGAACTGGTTGGCTTGCTGGCCAAAGGCTGGGCTGGCCTTTGGGACTTCATCATCCCTCGGACACAGCCAGCTGCTGGAGAGCACAGGTGCTTGTGTATACACACACCGTTCATTAACTTCCGTTTAGAAAGGAGGGTCCTGTCCCAGAGAGTGTGTGAGGAAGCAGTGGGAAATGGCACTGGGACTCTGGATGAGTCTGTGTAGAGAAACAGTGGGGCTTGGGAATAGACATGTTGTGTTCTCTGCGGAAAGAAGAGCAAGTTCTGTGACACAGTTTAGCAAAAAGTGGTCATGGTCTGAAGAATGAGGGCCTGAGTGCTAAGGTAGAGGCCTGGGGTGGACTGGGACAGCTGTTTCCTGTGGGCCATCTGGCCATGCCTGATGGTTACAGACCTGCTTAGAGTCCAGTCCTCTGAGAGACTGACAAGAGTGCTCTGAACTCCATGGCTTAGAAGGATGGGTGTATGGGATGGGGGGGCTGCTTCAGGTCTTCTGGAAGTAGATGTGGGCCACCTAGTTCTAATGTCTGGAGGAGAGTGAAGGCTTTTACATGTCATCTGCAGGGCAGAGAGGATGTGGTCCCCTGGGGTTTTGCCACCAGTCTGAGAGCTTCCTGGTCTGAGATGGTTCATCAGTAAGTCAGAGACAGATCTGCTTCTCCAGCCTTGAGGTAGCTTCGGATATGGGGGTCAGTCTCTTTTTTCCTTCTGCCATCCCTTTATCTAAAGACTGCTCCTGCCCAGTCAGTTAGGAGGCAGGAATTCAGGAGATAGGAGGAAATCCTGACGAGGAGATTAGAGGGAATGGTCCATCAATGACCACATCCTGAGGCAGAGTGAGAAAGAAACTGGAAATCTGTTGTCTCTCTCTTCTAGGAAACTCTGATTTGTGTATGAGCACTGATAACATGGGAATTTAATGACACAGTAAAGTGGAAACGGACTTGAGTTTTCTGAGGAAGACTGGTGCTGTGGAGTTGTGGGGGTAGGTGGTTTCTCAAAGGAAGATAGGTGGTGGTGCTGCTAGCAGAGGCTGGGGGAGTCTCCCCAGGAGGGAGACTGAATCCAGGTTCCTCTAGAGATCCTTCAGGATCAACACTTTGATCCTTTGACCCTGGATCTGCCTGCCCAAGAGTCCAGAAGTGCAGATATGAGATCTGGAACCTGAGATTTTGGTGGCGGTGAGGCAGAGGGTAACTGGCAGAGCAGTGGGCACAAGAGGGCACATACCTGAAGCTTTAGGGTGTGAAAAGTGGGACCAGAAGTAGGAGGGCCAGGGAGAGAGTTGCATTGTCAATAATGTCAGCCATCTGGAAACTGGGTTGGTACGGTAGATCTTTCAAGTAGTGGGTTCTAGTTGGGTAAGAGGGTTGGTAGGACCATGCCTTTTTCTTGTAAGATGTGTGTCCCAGTCCCTTCCCAGAGCTTGGCAGACAGCAGGTGTGTGCCATGGGTGTTTAAGGAGTTCAGGACGAATGGATTGCTTCAGTTACCCCTACTAATGTGCCTAACTGGGGCCATCTTGGACAAAGTTAGTCAAAACTGTGGGCCACATTCCCATATTGATTTTAAGAAACTTTACTTGGAAATTTCAATTTGCAAAAAAGATCAAGAATTAGAATGGTGTAAGGAAACTCATTCCTTTACTCAGATTCACCTATTAGCATTTTGCCACATTTGCTCTCTCTCTCTCTGTATACATACTTTTTTTCTGAGCCTTTTGAGAAGTTGCATCTTTCGTGGCTCTCTACTCCTAATTACTTCAGTCTGAATTAGCTAAGAATTGGGATTTTATTTTCCATAAGCACAGTATGGCTATTTGTCAGTCCGCATTGATACTTAATTGACTATCTACATTCCGGTTTTGTAATTTGACCAAATAATGTCTTTTTTTAAATAAAAAGTTTTATTGAGGTACAATTGACATAAAGGGCACATATTTAAAATGTACAGTATTATAAGTCTGTAAGTATATATACACCCATGAAGCTGTTACCACAGTCAAGATAATAGCAAACTTTCCAACTGTCCCTTTGTAATACCTCCCCTCACTGTCCTTGCTGCCTCCATGCCTAGGCAACCACTCTGCATTCTGTCACTCTAGGTTACTTTGTATTTTCTGGAGATTTATGTATGTGGAATCAGTGTATGTGCTCTTCTTTCTGTCTTTCACATATCACTGGATTATTTTGAGATTCACCCATGTGTTATATCAGTAGTTTATGCCGTTGAGTATTACTCCGCTTTATAGGTAAGCCACAGTTTGTTTATCCATATTCCTCTGTGGATGGGCATTGGGTTTTCCCCAGTTTGTGGTGATTTTGAATAAAGCTGCTATAAACATTCCAGATAGTTTTTGCATGGACGTATGCTTTTATTCCTCTTCAGTACATGTCTAAGTGTGGACTTGCTAACTCTCTGTTTAGCATTTGACAAACTACCAAACTGCTGTAAAAGGACATTAGTTTCGGGGCGCCTGGGTGGCTCAGTGGGTTAAAGCCTGTGCCTTCGGCTCAGGTCATGATCCCAGGGTCCTGGGATCGAGCCCCACATCAGGCTCTCTGCTCCGCAGGGAGCCTGCTTCCTCCTCTCTCTCTCTGCCTGCCTCTCTGCCTACTTGTGATCTCTGTCTGTCAAATAAATAAAATCTTTAAGAAAAAAAAAAAAAAAAAGGACATTAGTTTCATATCTTACACCATATACAAAAATTAACTCAAAATGAACTATAAACCTAAATGTAAAACCTGAAAGAGAAAACAGAGGGAAAGATATGTGTGATTTTGGCAAAGATTCCTTAGATATAGTGTGAAAAGCATGATCCATAAAAGATGAAACCCTTGATAATTGAATATCATTAAAATTAATAACTTCTGTTTTTCATTTGACACTCTTAAGAGGACAACTGTTTGAACTTTTGCATCTGATGAGTGAGAAAATTTTACCTTCGTATAGTTTAGTTTGCATTTTTCTTATTTTAAGTGAAATTGATTATCTTTTCATATGTCTAAGGACCATTTCAGTATCTTTTTGTGTTTTGGCTTTTTATCCCCTCAGTTTAAAAGTTCTTTGTCTCTTAGAGTATTGGCTTTTTATTTGTATGTATATTACAAATATTCTCTCCAGTTTGTCTTTTAACTTGGCTGGCTAATGGTGTTTATATCATGCAAAAGTGTTTTTACTTATTACTCCCTCTCGATTTTGAATCAAACTTAGAAAGCCTTTCTCTGTACCCAGGTTATAGAGGAATTGACCCATATTTTCTTCTAGCACTTACATAGTTATATTTATTATATTTAGTTCTCTAATCCACTTGGAAGTTATTCTTCTGTACAGCTCTAATTTTGTCTTTCCAAATAGCTATATAGTTGCTATAACAACTAATAAGACCATTTTTTTGTCCTAGTAATTTTAAATATCACCTGTATCATATATCAGATTTCTACCTGAATTTGTGTCTATTTTCTGTAGTTGAAATTGTATTCCTTTAGATGATCTGTTTATCTATGTACTAATATCACATAGTTTTATTTATAGAAGATTTGTAATATGTAGTACTTTAGTGGTGGTAGGGCTAGTCCCTCTTTCACATCTTCATTATTTTCCTAGATGATCTTGTATGTTTATTTTTTTCATTTTTTAAAAAATTTAATTTTAGGTAGCCAACATATGGTACATCATTGATTTTTGATATAATGTTCAGGATTCATTAATTGCATATAACACCCAGTGCCCATTAGTGTCACTTTGGCTCCCAAAAGCCATATTTTTATTGAGATTTCTGATGATGCTGAAATGTCCTAAGAACAAGGATATGTAAGTCCTCTTTTGTGTCTTTCAAGAACCATAGCCTTTTTCATATAGGTTTTGAATATTTCTTAAGTTTATTCTTACATAGCTTATCATTTTTATGGCTGCCGTAAATAGGGTCTTCTCAGCCATTGTGACTTGTAATGAGTTTATTATTTGTGGATATGAAGGCTATTGATTTGTGCAGGTTACTTTTTATATCCTGCTACTTTTCTCAATTCCTCAGTTGTCTGGATTTGTTTTATCATTAATTCTCTTAGAGTTTTCCAGGCATATTCTTACAGTATCAACAAATAAAGATAGTCTTGCTTCTTTTGCAACTTCTGCCTTTGTCTTCTGTAGTCCATTCACATTGGCTGATCCCTGCAATGGAAGGTTAAATAGTCATATAGATGGTGGGCAGCTTGGCTTTGCCCCTGACCCTTGTGAGAATGCCCCCAGTGCTTCCTTACTGGGTAAGGTCTGGCTTTAGCTTAAATGTGCAATATTAGAGTTTTTATTTTTATTTTTTTAAAAGTTTTATTTATTTATTTAGTTATTTGAGAGAGAGGAGAAAAGCATGGTCTTGTGAGCTGGCAGAGGGAGAGAAACTGCAGCAGACTCCCGGCTGAGCCCAGAGCCCCTGCATGCTCTGTCTCAGGACCCTGAGATCTTGACCAGAGCTAATAGTAAGGGTCATCGCTCAACTAACTGAGCCACCCAGGTGCCGCTGACATTAGAGTTTTAAAAGCAGTAATCTTTGAGCAATGGGAGACAGGTGGTCTCACGTCCAGCCCTGCCCCTGAACTCTGAATGGAAGATGAGACAGAAGGGTGTCTGGTATGGCAGGGAAAGGAGGATTCCCTTGCTTCCTCCTCTGCAACATCACTCACTACTTCCCCTTCACACCACATTGCTTTTCTGAGGACTCATGGACTCACTGCGGAGTGGGGGGAGTATGGTGTCCTGTCCCATCTGTCCCAGGTTAGGAGACAGGCAGCGCAGTTCTGAGGGAGCTCTGGGTCAGCCTCCTGGCCTCCCTCCACCCAGTGCACCCGGTGCCTCTGTGATGAAGGCTGGTTTTCTGTGTCCTCTCCGCAGGTGCATGGCTCCTTCCTAGCCTCGTAGTAGGCGAGCCCCGGGCAGCCCCCGGTCCCACCCCGGCCGGCCTCCCCCGCGGGGGCCAGGATGCTGAAGAAGCAGTCCGCAGGGCTGGTGCTGTGGGGCGCCGTCCTCTTCGTGGCCTGGAACGCCCTGCTGCTGCTCTTCTTCTGGACGCGCCCGGCGCCCGGCAGGCTGCCCTCGGACAGCGCTCTCGAGGACGACCCGGCCGGCCTCACGCGTGAGGTGATCCGCCTGGCCGAGGACGCCGAGGCCGAGCTGGAGCGGCAGCGGGGGCTGCTGCAGCAGATCCGTGAGCACCATGCCCGCTGGAGCCGGCGGTGGCGGGCGCCCTCGGCCGCCCCGCCCGGCCCGCCACGCCCGCCCGCGTCCCCCGCGCCGGCCGTGATCCCCATCCTGGTCATCGCGTGTGACCGCAGCACGGTGCGGCGCTGCCTGGACAAGCTGCTGCACTACCGGCCGTCGGCCGAGCTCTTCCCCATCATTGTCAGCCAGGACTGCGGGCACGAGGAGACGGCGCGGGTCATCGCCTCGTATGGCAGCGCCGTCACGCACATCCGGCAGCCCGACCTGAGCAGCATCGCCGTGCCCCCCGACCACCGCAAGTTCCAGGGCTACTACAAGATCGCGCGCCACTACCGCTGGGCGCTGGGCCAGGTGTTCCGCAGCTTCCAGTTCGCGGCCGCCGTGGTGGTGGAGGACGACCTGGAGGTGGCCCCGGACTTCTTCGAGTACTTCCAGGCCACCTACCCGCTGCTGCGCGCCGACCCGTCCCTCTGGTGCGTGTCAGCCTGGAACGACAATGGCAAGGAGCAGATGGTGGACGCCGGCAAGCCCGAGCTGCTCTACCGCACCGACTTTTTCCCCGGCCTCGGCTGGCTGCTGCTGGCCGAGCTCTGGGCCGAGCTGGAGCCCAAGTGGCCGCGGGCCTTCTGGGACGACTGGATGCGCCGGCCGGAGCAGCGGCAGGGCCGGGCCTGCGTGCGCCCCGAGATCTCCAGAACGATGACCTTTGGCCGCAAGGGCGTCAGCCACGGGCAGTTCTTCGACCAGCACCTCAAGTTCATCAAGCTGAACCAGCACTTCGTGCCCTTCACCCAGCTGGACCTGTCCTACCTGCGGCAGGAGACCTACGACAGAGATTTCCTGGCCCGCGTCTACGCGGCACCCCTGCTGCAGGTGGAGAAGGTGAGGACCAGTGAGCGCAGCGAGCTGGGGGAGGTGCGTGTGCAGTACACCGGCAGGGACAGCTTCAAGGCCTTTGCGAAAGCCCTGGGTGTCATGGACGACCTCAAGTCCGGAGTCCCCAGGGCCGGCTACCGGGGCATCGTCAGCTTCCTGTTCCGGGGCCGCCGTGTCCACCTGGCCCCCCCGCAGACCTGGGACGGCTACGATCCGAGCTGGAATTAGCTGCGCCTGCCCGCCCTGCTCCTGCTGGGCTCCTTCCTCTACGCATGGTGGGCTGAGACAGACCGAGCCCCTGAGCTGCATCTCCTCTCTGTGTGTCTCTCTTGGGTACATTTACCTTTTCTTTTCTTTCTTTTTCTTTCCTTTTTTTTTTTCTTTTTCTTTTTTGAATGGCATTCGAGAGCACAGAGGGTGAGATGAGGGTTATTCTCCTGTTCTCAAGGGGGTCAGATCAGGGGAACCTTGGCGGGGTATGTTGGGTGGTATTAGCAGGAAGCCACTGTGTGGCAGGGAGAGACTTGGGCATGTTGGGGCCACAGACTTCCACATTCCAGGGTTTCTCAGAGCATCTGCAGAGGTGGGCAGCTTTAGTGGTCTTGACCAGCTCTCTTATCCCTGTCCTGCCTCTTCCAACCAGGGTGTGGGCTCACCTCCTGTATCTGCTCCCCATTCCCACCTTCCCCCCCGTTGGAGGGGTTGTTGGGTTCTTTGCAAAGGGCATTTACCTGTGGCCAGAGTGAGACTAACCAAAGGGGTGTCATCATCAGAGTCTGGGTGGAGCTGTTGGGCTTTCAGGGTTTACTGCTGCCCACCCCTGTTTCTCTTCTGCCCCTCTCCTAATCCTGACCTCCTCTCTGCTCTTCTTTCCTTGCAGCTTAGCAGTGTGTGATTCTAAGATGAGAAGTCAAAGGGGGAAAGCCAGACTTCTCCTCAGCTTATCCGCAGAAGTTGGGGTGGGAGGAGCAGAGAATGTGGTAGGGAGAAAGCCTTGGTGTGCTAGGACATGCCTCCCTCATCCTGCCTCAAAGAAACAGACTCTGTTCCTGGATCCTGGCCTTTCTAAAAATTGACCCCTTTCCTGTTGCAGTAGGAGGTTTCATGCTGGCTTTCTGGAAGACAGATTAGCTCCTTGTGTCCTTTTTCTCCTGGGGTTTGGGGCACAGGCCCCTCTCTGAAGGTTGAGGCCTCAGGTGGCCCTCTCAGGGTGAGGTGGAAAGATAGCTCCTGCCTCCCTCCCCTGTCCACCGGGCATCCCCCTGTCTGCTCAGATTGTGGTGAGGATGGCAGGTTGGAGAGCAATGTATGTGTGTTTGCTTCTGGCCTGACCTCAGTTCATGGAAGAAAGTTGAAGCTACAGAATTATTTTCAAAAATAAAGGCTGAATTGTCTGAAAAACTGTGTGCATGTGTTTGTGTCCTGGAACAGGAAGGAGCTGAAGGGTAGAGGAAGAAGGAAAAAGAAGGGAGGACAACGGCTGAGGGAAGGGCCTGGATGGCAAGAGGAAGTGGATCAGCTAAAGCAAGGAAAGCAGATGACCGGAAGATGGGAGCTGGGAGGGGCTGGGTGTGAAAGAAAGGCCAGACGTGTGGGTAGGGTTGGGAGAGGAGGTGCAGGGGTGGAGGGGTTGGTCCAAGGTTACAGTACCCTGTTGCTCATCTCTGAAGTTGTGCTGTGAGCCCTTGGTGGACTTGAGCTTGCTGTAAGGCTGAAGGCCTGGTCTGAGAGGACCCAGGCGGCCCCTCACAAAGTGGGTGCTATGTGCTGGGTGCCCCATTTCCTGGGCCTGCCCCCGAGCTCCAGGATGCAGACCTGATATCAGGGCAAGCTCTGTCAGGGAGAGGCACTCAGAGTCCTGACCATGATCCCAGTGAGAATGCTTTTATCCTGCCACCTACAACACACACACACAGCTGGCAAGTATGTCCCGAGACTTTGAATCATGGGAAACACATGCCGAGAGTTTCTGTTCTCTATTCCTTCTCTTTTTGATGATTCACTAGTGCGTTTGACAACCCTGGGGAGGTGACTTTGTTCACTTATACCATTCTGGAGCTTCACACATACTAGCTGTAGGGGGAGTGGGGTCACCTGGTGCCAAAGGGAGTAGCTCCGGCCTCCCTTCGCCTGGGCTTAGGAATGCTGAGTGTGCTACGGGAACCAGAGTCAGACATTCATTTTAATCTTTCAGATTTCTGTAGAGCTAGTTTTGCCTTCCCGTGTGCTCGCAGACGGATCATTTAATCCTGTGGGGTAAATAAATTGGGGTAGGGTTGTTATCCATGATTTGCAGACGGGGAAGGGTGCAGTGATGCCCTGGCCGGGAGTACTTGGGCTGCCAAACTCCATGCTCTTAGCACTCAAAGTATTAAAACAATTGCTCATGAAGTGCATTGTTCTGAGTGCTCCGTGGTTAACATGAACTCATGTAATCCTCCAGGTAATTGTGGGGGTAAAACTCCTGTTTTACAGGTGAGGAGATGGGCACACCGAGGTTCCTTTGACCCACCACCTGGTTGGGATGGAGTGGCAGATTTGAACAGGGCCCATGCTGTTAATGACCACCTACTACTGGACTGTTCCCTTCTGTCCTTTACTGCTTTCCTCCAGGGATGCCTCCCCGGTCTCCTTTGTACTCTGGTCTCCCCTCTGTCAAGCCACAGAGTGGTGGATGGGGCCAGACTTCCTGGCCAAGCAGCACGCGGTCAGCCTGACATGGTGGGCTGGTGGGGGGCAGCCCTCTGGGAGGGATCTCCGAGGAGAGGACACTCTTGGAAGATACCGGCTGATTTCTCAGGTTTCTCCTGAAGCAAGGAGAACTTCCAGAGGTCTCCAGGTCCTGTTTCTCTCCCTTTTGATGTAGGTCCTCAGGCTGCATTTGCCCTGTCACGTCATCTTCAGGTGTGGTTTATGGGTGCATGGCTGCTGTCCCTGAAGGACTGTGATCCTCCTGTATGCACAAATGTACATGATAACACAAAAGTACATGATAGAAATGTCAGGATGAACCTTGAGGTCAGAGATTCAAAGGTAATTCTGAAGAGTTCACCCAGCTCCCTGCAGCTCCCCTGCTGGGTGGGTCCTCCCCAAAACACCTGGTGACTGACTGGCATGGCTGGTGCTGGTGGCAAGTTCCCAGGGCGAAGAGGGTCTCAGCTGCTTACAGAAGGCCTTGCAGGGATGCAGCATGCCTGTGGGTCCAGTAGCTGCTCAGGCCAGACCTCTGCCTGTGTCCCCTAGCCCTTCCTCCACTTCCAGCCATCCTCCCGCTCCGGATTCCTGAGAACCACTCTTTCTGCCTTCCCTCCCCCAGTCTCTTGGCCTTTGCTGTTGTTGAATAACAAATATTAAATTTTGAAGATCTAATTGGCCTTGCTGAACCTTTTCATGATCGTCGCATCCCATCTGGCAACTAGAAAAGAGTTGCAAAGGGCTCCAGAAAGGGAAGGTTTTTAAAGGCAGGACAAGGAAGTCCTAAACAGACTTAAACAACAACAAAAAAAACTTATTTTGGGCAAGTTCACCTCCTTTTGTGAAACAGAAGGGTCTTTGGTGGATTACGTCATCAGGGCTGACCAGGAAATTCCAAACTGGTTAAGACTGCATTCTTGGGGAAGATTGAAACTGCATTCAGGTTGGGTATGAAGCCCTGTTTAGCGACATGGGTTTACCACAAGTGACTCCATTTTGGATCTATTGTTTCTTTTTAACCGTTTTCTCTCTTTTCTGGTGGATTTTCTCTTTTTTTAACCATTTTCTCTCTTTTATGGTGGATTTTCTCTCTTTTTAGCTGTTTTCTCTCTTTTCTGGTGGATTTTCTCTCTTCTTCCTGGTGGATTTTCATTTGTGAGGTAACAGATACATCGGTGTGGACAAATGGGTGATGACCCTGACCATGTTTTCCCTGAGCTGACCCTCCTGGGTGTGTTCAGAATCCTGCCAGGGCTGAGGTGCAAGGGCAAGGAGTGGAACATGGGGACCAGGGAACAGTAGGGGACCAAAGGTGGGAGCAGGCGCTGAGGCTGGGGACCTGACTGGGCTGGAGGGGTCTGCGTTTGATGTTAGATTTCAATGCCTTCTAAAAATGAAAAGTAGGGTCGCCTGGATGGCTTAGTTAAGCAGCTGCTTTCGGCTCAGGTCATGATCCCAGGGTCCTGGGGAGTCTGCTTCTCCCCTGCCTGCCGTTCCCCCTGCTCGTGCTCTCTCTTTCTCTCTCTGTGTCAAATAAATAAATAAAATCTTTTAAAGAATAATAAAAAATTATGTGTGACCCTTTCCCAGGTTTGCACATGACAACTGAAATTCTTTTTTTTTAATTTTTATTTATTTTTTAAATTTCTTTTCAGTGTTCCAGAATTCATTATTTATGCAGCACACCTAGTGCTCCATGCAATACGTGCCCTCCATAATACCCACCACCAGGCTCACCCAACTTCCCACCCCCCTCCCCTCCAAAACCTTCAGTCTGTTTCTCAGAGTCCACAGTCTGTCATGGTTCATTTCCCCCTCCAATTTCCCTCAACTCCCTTCTCCTCTCCATCTCCCCATGTCCTCCGTGTTATTCCTTATGCTCCACAAATAAGTGAAACCGTATGATAATTTACTCTCTCAGCTTGACTTATTTCACTCAGCATAATCTCTTCCAGTCCCCTCTGTGTAGGTACAAAAGTTGGGTATTGGGCGCTTGGGTGGCTCAGTGGGTTAAGCCTCTGCCTTCGGCTCAGGTCATGATCTCAGCATCCTGGGATCGAGTGCCACATTGGGCTCTCTGCTCAGCAGAAAGCCTGCTTCCCCCCACCCGCTGCCTGCCTCTCTGCCTACTTGTGATTTCTCTCTCTGTGTGTCAAATAAATAAATCTTTAAAAAAAAAAAAAGTTGGGTTTTCATCCTTTCTGATGGAGACATAATACTCCATAGTGTATATGGACCACATCTTCCTTATCCATTCGTCCATTGTGGCCATTGCTGCTATGAACACTGGGGTACAGATGGCCCTTCTTTTCACTACATCTGTATCTTTGGGGTAAATACCCAGTAGTACAATTGCAGGGTCATAGGGAAGCTCTATTTTTAATTTCTTAAGGAATCTCCACACTGTTTTCCACAATGGCTGCACCAACTTGCATTCCCACCAGCAGTGTAAGAGGGTTCCCCCTTCTCCACATCCTATCCAACACTTGACAACTGAAATTCTTAAAGGCCACTTAGCCTTTCTTATTACAAAAGCAATACATTTGCATCTTAGAAAATCAGGAAGCAGGGGCACCTGGATGGCTCAGTGGGTTAAGGCCTTTGGCTCGGGTCATGATCCCGGGGTCCTGGGATCAAGAGGTCCTGGGATCAAGGGGTCCTGGGATTGAGCCCCGCGTCGTCGGGCTCTCTGCTCAGCAGGGAGCCTGCTTCCTCCTCTCTCTCTGCCTGCTTCTCTGCCTACTTGTGATCTCCATCTGTCAAATGAATGGATAAAATCTTTAAAAAAAAAAAAAGAAAATCAGGAAGCAGATAATAATAAAAACATTCACACTTCCACATTCCCCCGTCTCTATTTATACCTGCCAAGTTTCTTTCTTGCATAAATAAATAAAACACTTATTCATCAATAAAATTCATGAAGGCACAGAAATATTTATTTAGCTTTATATGAGTGGAACACTTATATATGCTCTGTACACTGTTTCATAACCATGTCAAATATTTACCTGTGTCATAATTTTCCTCACTTATCCTCTTTCTTGATAATCTTCCACAAATGCTGGATTTCAGGCTTCCCAACAGGATTTCTGTAGAGATCAGTGGTTTGCCTCAGCTGGGGCCCTTGAACCTCCATCCGTTGTCCCAACCACCCTCTGTCTAACCTGGGCATGTCACAGAGAGCTTATACTTGGAGCAGAGGGGAGGGGAGGAGCACCACCTCTGTTCTGAGGCCCAGAGACCGGCTGTGGTGGTGAAGTCCTGTCACGGGAAGACCTACACTGGGCCCAGCTCTGCCTCAGCCATTTTGTCCTGCCAGGGCCTCTTCCTGAGGGGCAGGGACAACAGTGCCTGCCTCCCTTTGGGGTGCTTGTGAGGATTAGTATGCGTGAAAGCAACCGTCCACGTCCTTGAGAAATCTCTGTCCCGGGTGCTCTCTTTCCCCAGGTTTCCTTTTTGACCCCACCTGATGGTGGGAGGAAGGCGAGTGAGTACAGGCTTAGCTGTTGAGAGAAAGGGGCCTGGGTGGTCCTGAGGCTGTTACTCTCTCTCCTGCTGCCCCTTCAGCTTCCTTGAAATCTGGCTCTTGATACTAAAACGCTCAGACAGGATGCTGGATCAGATCCAGCTGCATACAGCAGAAAACTCACTACAGCGTCTTAGGGAAGTGAGAGCCAGGTGGTCTAGGGCTCTAGGTGGGTATAGGGCCCAGCTGTCTTCTGTTTCTGTGTCTCACTCCTTCGCAGGGGACTGCCATCCTAGATGTTACTCTTCATCTGTGGGAGCTCTGGTCGGCATGCTCATGTTTTAGGCAGGACGAAAGAGGAAGGAAGAAGGGCAAAAGGTGAATTCCTGAGGCCAGCGCTCCTTTCTTGGAAGCCAGCAAACAGCCCGATTATAGCTCCCTGGCCGGAACCGGCTCACACGGACATACCAGCCTGCTGGAAAAAGTAACTGTTTAGTCAGATTC